AATCTCTCAAAAAACCAAAGTCTTTTTCCTAGGTAATATGCTTTGTTTTGAAACCCACCTTGTCTCATAATAAAATAGCTACCCTAGCTTTATTTTTGTTCAATACTTGCATACTTTATCTTTTTCATCCCCTTACTTTTAACCTAATCGTGTATATGTAAAGCATAATTTCTTGCAGGTGGCATGCAGTTGGGTCTTGCTTTATTGAGTTTGACAATTTTTGCCTTTTAAGTCTTAGAGCAAAGTCTGGATGTTTGCGTCTGGATGTTTGTGTACCCCCAAAGTTCATATGTTGAAATCCAGCCCCTTAAATGATGGCATACAGAGATGGGGGCCTTTACAAGGTCATTAAGTCATGAAAGAGGACCCAGAGAGTTAGCTGCCTTGACCCCCACCTGTGAGGAGGGAGCAAGAAGAAGCCATCTATGGGTCGTTGGGGAAGTTGTGACACATTTTTTTATAGAAAAGGATAGAAAAATATGTCACAACTTTCCCAATGACCGAATACGAACCAGAGAACAAGAACGCACCAGACACTGAGTCTCCTAGCACCTCTGTCTTAGATTCCTTGGCTTCCACAATTGGGAGAAATACATTCCTACTGTTTATAAGGCACTCATTTTATGGTATTTTGTGATAGCAGCCACCAACTTACATCTAATGTAATTACTGATGTGGGTGTAGCTTATACTGACTTCTTTGTTTTCTAGTTTTCCACTTGCTTTGTTTTTTTTCATCGTTTAACCTACTTTTTGTTTTGCTTTGTTTCGACTTTGGATTAATTGATGTATGTATGGTTTCAGTTGTCTTTGCCACTGACTGATTAGAAGTAATATCTTTTCATTTTTATTTTTGACTTATTAATTATTTATTTAATTTTTATTTTATGATTATCATTATTTTTAAATTTGCTTCAGGGCATGCACATTCACCAGGGTAAAACAGAGACAGAAGGAAAGATGGAAAGTGAGAAAGCAAGCCACCAGGTCTGGAACTTGAACAGTTGTTGGCCATCTGGGAGCTCAGTGCCTTAACAACCATGCTGGGCCCAATATCATTAAAATGTTTATAACTGCTCTAGTATTTACAATATAGAATTTTATCACCATCTACTTTCAAACTCCATTAAAACACTTCACATAAAATATTAGAGCCTCACAACAATATTTCCGCTTCCCACTTCCATCTGTATTACTTTTGTCATAAATTTTGTTCTACATTTGTATAAATCTCATACTATATATTTTTATTTTAAACACTCAGTTAGCTACTAAAAAGATTAAAAGTGAGAAAAACCATGTTTTGTATTTATTTTCATATTTGATAAAACTGCTTTTCTGGTTAGCAACATGATTTGCTAGTAGGAAGACTAAATTCTGGCAGTGAATCATCTACTCTAGCTGGTGAGAGCTGAATATATTAATTTCTAAGCAATTCTTACGAGCTAGTAATGCTCCATTATTTTTGTACACTGTTGTACCTGTGAGTCACTTCAGATCTCAGTTAATCAACAATCCATGAAAAAGATTGGAGGACACTTCCAAGGGCTAGAATCCAGGTTTACTGAGGCAATCAATCGATGAAACAATTAATTATTATTTGTTCAACTTCTCTCTCTGCTCACTCACTTATTAAACATGGATTGGGATCAGCAGACGGCAAAATGGTTATGTTGCTAGATGCCATGTAGTTGACTGTGGCTCGAGTCCCGGGCCTGGCAGCTTAAAACTCACACCAGGCGCACATGTGTGTGTGTGTGTGTGTGTGTGTGTGTGTGTGTGTGTGTGCCCAAAATCTTGAGAGAAGAATGGAGGAGAAAGGATTGTGGTATGACCATCCCACCTGGGGGGAGGGGTGATTTCTTGCTTTCTGTCTCTCTGTCTCTCTGTCTTTCTAGCGAGGACACGTGCCCTATAGCAAAAATCTCTCTATAAAACAAAAACAGAAAACATTCACTCATTAAACATGGATTAATCATTACCTATGTGCCAACTCCAAAAGAGATGCTAAGCATAAAGAAAAAAGATACCATTTCTTCCCTGAAAGATTTTCAGATATAGTAGCTTTTTACCAGGAAGGAGAAAGAAAATAAGATCAGTTTTTAAAATGCATTAATCACTTTTTTTCTCTTCAGTGCCTATTGTCATTTATCCTATAATTTTTAAAAGAATTATTTTATTTAATTATTTAATTTGACCAGAGAGGGACAGAGTGAGAGAGAGAGAGGTAAAGTGAGAAAGCAAGCTGCCAGGTCCAGGACTCGAACCACAGTGGGCCATGTGGAAGTCCAGTGCACTTAGCCAACATGCTGCCTGCTGGCCCCCACCCTATAATTTTTTTAAAGTTTACTTTATCCTACGGGAGAAAGAGATACAAAGATAGAAGAAGAGAAACATCACTTCTAATAGGGTCTTTTTTAAAAAAATAATTATTTACTTAATTTTATTTATTCATTCATTTTTATTTTAATTTGACCAGAGAAAGAAAGTCACACAGAGAGACAGAAAGTGAGAAAGCAAGCCACCAGGTCCAGGACTTGAACCATGGTTGGCCATGTGGAAATGTCCGGCCACCTGTTGGCCCCTGAATAGAGTCTTGACCCACCACCAGCTTAGCCAGCCCTGGATTAGGGGCATGTATGTGCCTGACTTACTCAAGGAGATCTCCAGACATAAATCCAGAACCTTCTCATGTGGGTCAGTCACAGAGCATTGTGTTTACATGTGTTAGTGCCGTAATGCTGTCCGTCTCTAATTCCATGTTTTAAAGTTTATTTCTGGAAAGAGAGAGAGAGAAACTTTCAATAGGGTCTTCATGTTGCAACCCTCCCCCCAGAACTATACCAGCTAGGATCATAGGTGCACACAAGGGCGTATCTAGCATGTTCAAGTGGACCTGGGACATGGACTGGAGCCTTCCCAGGTAGCTTCCAGTTTTCCATATTAATGTCCCTACCACTTGTGCCACTGTGGGTGGGCGTCTTCCCTAATTTTTTGCACCCTAATTTTTATATATTGGTCATAGTATGTGAAATTATTATTATTGTAATAACAATAATACAGCTACTAGTACCATTACATACATTTTACTCTTCCCTTTTTATCCTTTAGGACAACTGTGGGAAGTACTATTAGCCTGATTTTATGGATGAGGAAATGGAGGCTCAGAGAGTAATCTGCCCAAAGTAACAGCTATTGAATGAGTGATCTCAGACTGGATTTAATCCAGGTCTGAATGACACTGGAGTCCCTGTTCTGTCAGAAACAAGCAGAAAAGGTAGGTCTAAAACGTTTGCTTCTACAATACTATGAACTCATAGCAGGGGGTTCTGGATGTATTATAGTTGGTCAATGAAGATTGTTAAGGAACAAAGAGGGAAGAAGCAATCAAAAGAATAAAAAAGCAACTTATAGGATGGGAAAAATTTTTGCAAATCATATACATGATAAAGGGTTAATATCCAGAATATATAAAAAATTTCTACAACTCAACAATGACAAAAAAATCCAACTGAGAACTGGGCAAAAGATCTAAATAGGCCTTTCTTCAAAGAAGATATACAAATGGCCAATAAGCACATGAAAAGATGTTCAACATTACTAATTATCAGGAAAATGCAAATAAAAAATATGATGAGTTATTACCACACACCAATTGAGATGGCCACTCTGAAAAAGAGAGAAAAAAAGAAAAAGGAAAGGAGGAAGAGGAGAAATTAGGACCCTTCTGCACTCTTAGTAGAAGTATAAAATGGTATAACTGCTATGGAAAACAGAATACAGCATCCTTAAAAACTTAAAAAGCAGAATTACATATCAAAAAGTTACCTCACTTTTGAATCTAGGGGGGGGGTCTTCAAAAAATTCTTGTAATTATATAGTATGGAAAAACTATGTATAGATTTCAAAAATTTTTGTTCCAACAAACTCAGACTTTAATTCCACTTTCCACGAACATCTTGAAGCCCCTTGTATATTCCAAAAGATTAGAAAAGCAGGGTCTTGAAGACATATTTCATGTTCATCGCAGCTTTGTTCATAATAACCAAGAGGCAAAAGATGCCCAGATGTCTACTGAGGGGATGAATTGATGAAGAAAATGTGGTATATATACATACAATGTAATATTATTATATTCAACCTTAAAGGATAAGGAAATCCTGTCATACGATAGGATGTGACATGGATAAACTTTGGAGACTTTTTTTTTTCCAGTTTTTCTCTAAGGTGCACGTGCTTGCCAGAGAAAGAGATAGAGAGAAAGTGAGAAAGCATCCCCAAAGAGTATGGCCATGCTGCAGTCCCTTGTCCTGCATAGGGTCTTAGGACTGGGCACACACACACACACACACACACACACACACACATGCATGATTTTCAAGCTGCTGGGTATGGAACCTCCCCTTCATCTGCTAGTCCAAGGACTTATTAGATAAGCCAGTCACAAAAAGACAACAATTTTGAATCATACAAAAGACAATATGATTCCACTTACATGAAATACCTGAAATAGGCAAACTTACATAAATAGAAAGTGGAATGTTGATTATCAGGGGTTGTGGGAGGGGACTATGAGGAGTTGTTCAGTAAGTACGGAGTTTCAGTTTGGGAGGATTAAAGTGTTCTAGAGGTCTCTCGCACCGCAATGTGAATATAGTTAACCCTACTGAACTATATACACTTAAAAGTGGTAAAGATGGTCAATTTTGTGTTTTTTACCACAATTATAAAAACAGATTTAAGGAAAAATGCTACATGCGATGCTACTCACATTGGAATTTATTTAGCTAAATAGTGCCTTGCCAACTCTTTTTTCCAATGATAGTGTCTAAAAAGCATGAACCTCCTTCACTACCACTAAGTGCAGTACAACTAGAGGCGTCCGCGCAGCCTCTTTGCAGCACGCGGTGTCGCTCAGCCCCGCCTCTCTCTCCGCCCCCTTGCACCGCCCACCGCCGAGTTTCCTCCAATCGCGGCCACGGCCCCGCCCCTTCCCCCAAGTCTCTTTCCTGCATCCGGGCCTAGCTGTGCAGGATCCTAGCGGGAAGCATGGATGTTCGCGGAGCGTCCCAGGACAGCTTGCGCTGCTCGTCCTCCTCTCGGAACTGCCAGGGCGTCTCAGTGTCGCAGGAGCTGCTGACGGCGGGGAGTGATGGCCGTGGAGGTGACAGACGGGTGGCGGCGGCGGGGGGCGCGCACGTGCGGGGGAGGACGCGCGGCCCAAGATCTGGGGGCGGTGTCTGGGTGCCCAGGCCCTGCACCCCGGCGGGGAGCCTTGGACGCGGCTGCAGAGCTCCCGCGGGTCGGCCGCTGCGGTGGTGGGAGGTGAGCGCTGGGAGGCAGGACCCTACCTCGCGTCTGCAGAGGGTGGTCTGATGTTCTACAGGGAAGTGAGCGCTTGTCTAGCCAAGTGCAAGGCTCCTGCCCTGTTCTCGGAGTTGGGACGCACCCAAACTTTTTAAGGGGCGAAGGGCTTAGAGCTGGTTGTCTGGGTCGGAGCAATTGACTGGTAAGGAAAGCAGGCGTATAGTATGCCAACGCCCCACTTCTCAAACCACCCCCTAAACCACTCCTTATGGCTGACCGTTCTGGAGGGCACAGGCGTCCTGGATATCCGCGCAGAATTCCAACCATTGTACTACCGACATTAAAAAGCTTGAGATCGGGAACAGCAGTTGGCGTAATGGCCATGTTACTGGACTCCCGTGTAGTTGACCACGGTTCGAATCCTGGGCCCAGTGGCTTACACTAGGTACGTGTCCAAGATCCCGAGAGGAGAATGGAGAAGGGATTGCGGTGTGGCCATCCCCTCTGGGAGGTGATTTCTGACTTTCTTTCTGTTGCTCTGTCTCTCTCTGTCTTTCTGGAGAGCACACATGCCTTATAGCAAAAACCTCTCCAAAAAAAAAGTTTGAGATCGAATCCCAGCACCCTGAGTAATTAACCATGGGACTTAGGAGACTTAACTCCCATTCTCTAAGCCTCAGTTTTCACATTTGGAAAAATGTAGGTAGTAGCGTCTATAGAACTTTTGTGCAGAGTATGCGCCTAAGGACTTGTGCATGTTCTCAGTAAACACTAGAAGGAAAGGTTCTCTTGAAATGCAGAGATTTCTAAGGAGTTACTGTAATAATGACAGCCAAATTTATGTAGTGCTTACTCTGCCCCAGGGACTAATAGATTTAATTCTCACAATCCACTGCCAAAGGTTCTGTTTTTATCCCATTATAGATGAGAAAACAGGCATAGTGTGCTGTACAGATAAATACCTTCCTGATGATTATGCAAGTGGAAAGTCGCAAAACTGTGATTTGAATCCAAGCTGCCTGTCTCCAGTGTGGGTACCCTTACCACTAATCTGATTGCCACGGCTTAAATAGTAAAGCCTTCAGTGAATATTTGTTGAGCTCTGCTCTGAGGATGAACAGGATTTTTGTACCAGAGGATGAAGAGATTTTCTAGGTATTCTAAATAAAATACTCAAGGCCTTGGGTTTGAAAGTTCTGTTCTCAGGGGCTAGTCCAAAGAACACAGTTACAGGAGCGAGGTCCCACATGGCCAACATCAATTTGAATACAGTCCCTGAGGCTAGAAAAACATGCCATGTCAGAACTAGTAGTTGGTGTAATGGCTATGTCTCTGGACTCCCATGTAGTCAACCATGGTTCGAGTCCCAGACCTGGTGGTTTAAACTCACACTGGGTGTGTGTGCGTGTGTGTGTGTGTGTGTGTGTGTGTGTGTGTATCCAGGATCCCAAGAGGAGAATGGAGGAAGGGATTGTGGTGTGGTCATTCCCCCCTGGGGGGTGATTTCTCGCTTTCTGTCTTTGTGGTGAGCACATGCAAAAAACCCACAAAAAAAAAAAAAAAAAAAAAAAAAAGAAGCCACATGGATGTGCTCGTGCCTGAAATCCTAACAGGTCTGAAAGATGGAGGAGAATGAATTGCCACATGGCCACTCTGCTTTGGAGGGGCTTTCTCTCCCTTTCGCTCTGGCCCGCCCACCAAAAAGTTTAAAAAGGAAAGTCTTGTTCTTGGATCTCTGCTGGACTGGAGAGTTGGGTCAGTTTGAAGAATAGTAAGTGTTGAAACTGAAAAGGTGGAGGGACAAAATTTCTCTAAAAAGCAGCTTTGTCTAGGCAGGACATCTTTTTTTCTTTTCTTTAAAGAATTAATTTTCTTTATTAATATTATTTTTAAATTTGCTACTAAAGCACATGAACTCACCAGAGAGAGGGAGATAGCAGGAAATTGATAAAGCAAGCTGCCAGGTACAGGACTTGAACCGCTATTGGCCATGTGAAAGTTCAGCACCTCACCCACCAGCCCCTAGGCTGGACATCTTCACCAAAGGAAGTAACCAAGCAACTAAGCATGTTTTATAAAGGAAGAAAGCAGATGCTTAGAGAGAAAACTAGTAACCATTTCTGGCTTCACTGACCCATTCTTTTACTCTGTGCTTCTGTAGAAGTGCTTCCATTCTGTCATTGCAAACCCATTTTGTCTACTGATGATTTCTAACCAGAAAGATGCATATTATTATGCATGTATTACTCAGCATCAGTGATGCAGAGATGAATGAGACAGGCTTGAGAAAAAAGAAATGGAGGTACCTACAAAAGTAGAGTGTTATAATGGGATTTGGAGTGCCTCCTGTTTTTTTGTTTTTGTTTTTTTCTTTTTTTTAAAGAAAAGCAAAAAAACAAGTAGGGGCCCAGCCACAGTGGTGCACACTACTAGGACACTGTGTTTCACAGGCTGAGACCACATAGGTGGCCTAGGTTTGATTCCCAGTCCATCCTGAAGACTGTGAGCAGTGTTGTGTGCCTGTAATCCCAGCAACTCAGGCTAAGACGGGAAGATCACCAACTGGAGGCTGGTCTGTGTAGCAAAGTGTCTAAAAGAGCCATGGGTGGCTTGCTCTTAGTCCCAGTCGGGAGACTGAAATAGGTGTAGTGTGACAGCGAGACTATGTCTAAGAATGAAACAAAAAACATCTTGGAGAATACGCAACAGTTTAGAAGTAAAACTGGATATGGGAGGCTTGCTAACGAACCCCTACCTTTTAGGCTATAGTAAATTACATGTGTGTACATTTTCAGGTATATGGGACAAGTTGCTCATCAACTCCAAGCCTAGTTCCAGAAAGACTTCCACTCTTCAAACGGTTCGGATAGAAAGGAGTCCCTGTAAGTACCTCTCTCTCTGCCAAATTTTGCCTAGTTAAACTGTTATTTGGTGGGACCAGCTGTTTACATGGTCAGGTATCAAACCACGTCGTGTCTGACGGAGCCGATCTTGCTTGCGACTTAACATTATAAAATCAGTGCACAAGGACAGAGATTTTTTTACATTAGTCCCTTGCATTAGGAGGGTAACTTTTTTAGGGAAAACTGCTTGTGGGATGACTTTTTGTAAGGCAGAAACAATTATTGTTGGGCTGACCCTGTGACAGCAGTTAAGCCCTGTGCATAGAATGCTAGATTCCACATGACCGACTCCTTCAAATCCTAGTTCCAGTGGCTTGGAGGATGTGTTGAGTGCGTATGTATGTGTATCCAAGGTATTGAGGGGCGGGAGAAATGGAGGAGGGTCATACAGATCGCTCTATGACCACACCCCTTTGGGGAGAAGCTCTCTTTGGTGAGAGTGCATGTACTCACTGGAAATAAAACAAAACAAAAACAATTATTGTTAATCTCTGTGGAAAAATTTTGTAGTGGTTACTAAGCCCTAAACTTGGTACATGGCTATAGAAGAATACCACCACATCCTATTGAACAGAACACAATTACTTTGGTAAATGTTATTTACTGTATGACATAGTAGGGCCAATGGTCATGAATTACTTTCTAATACTGCTCTGTACTTCTAATATTATACTCTGTACTTCTACAAAAGTACTTCCATTCTGCCTGTATTTCATTCTGTCATTGCAAACCCACATTTGTCTACTGATGGGTTTCTGATCCAGAAAGGTGCAGTTTAGTTAGTGTGCATTTATTACTCCACAGCAGTGATACAGAGATGAGGATGCAGGAACATTCAGATAAGTATGCTTCACATTCAGACTTTGTTCAGATGGCATTCATGTAACACTCAACATCTATGTACTGCACTCTTAGTGTTTAAAGGAAGAATAAAGTTAAGAATTCAGTGAGAACAATATAAATGATGCATAAGGTTATCACATCTCTAAGGACTCCTGAGTACATCAAAAGGGAAACTTATCCATACCATACCCTAAATCTGCAACAGCTAAAATGACTGCATGGTAACTCTCCATTCAAATGTAAGTTTGTGAGGGCGTAGGTATTGTTTTTAGGGGGATTACAGACCTTTGAGTGAAATTGCTGGGCATATGGAAGGTGTATTTATTTATTTATTTATATATATATAAATTTATATATAATATATAAAATTCTTAAAAATGTACATATTAAATTTGTATAATATATAAAATTAGATATTTTATAAAATATATAAAGTTTCTGGGTATATGGAAGGTGTATTTTATATATTTTATATATTTTTTATATTATGTATTATATATAT